ATTTATCCTTTCTTGTTACTTTCTTAAATTAATTGAAGGTAGGCTAAGAAGACTGCAGTGTTGTTCATGTGGTTTTTCTTGGGGATGAAGGGGTGTTCCCTTCACTGAATTCATTAGTTTTTATCACGTTTGGGTTATTCTTTAACCTTTTTTCTTTTCTTTTTTGGGACGATTGGACTTTGGTGGACGCTGTTGAAAACTGAAATTGAAATAGTAAGGTAACGTGTAGTTAGGGTCCTAAATTTGCGTGGTGGGTAAAAGATGGAACGGTTGAGAAGGAATTCAGCCAATTTTCATATATCCAATCAATATTGAGGGGGCATGGAAGTATTTATTTGGCCATTAGAAGATGTTTTAGTTGGAAGTTTTTACAATCTTTAATGGAATGGCCTAATTTTTGTCAACAAATTTGTAACCATTTTCATAACCGGTCAAGAAGCACTTTCTTGTTTCATTGAAGCAGGAAATTGCATCCTCCTACCTCATTTCTAACTCTTTGGCACTTTGCCACTTAAAATTAGCCAAAACATAGTGCCTCAGATTTTCGTTATCAAGAATCCCTTCCCTAAGAACTTGATAAAAGAAGACCTTGGAACTGTCTACTAAGTTTAAGGACTAATTATCAAAGAAAGCTTGTTGGCAAGACGAGAATCTCGCTTGGCCTCGGTTGCTACTTGCTAACTAGCCCCAATTACACAATTATCCGAACTTTTATTTACTGTACTAACCAGAAATAACTCATGCCGTGAGGACGAGAGCTTTGAGGGATTTCAAAATCCATTTAGAGAGAGGTCCTGAATTCTTCACTCTGATGCGATGGAGACTGAGGCCACCGCTAGCAATAGGAAAAGAAACATCCTATTCGTCGTAAGCTTTCTATTGTAGTAGCTTGCCTGGGATTGAAAAAATTTAGTTGCAATGTGGAAGATTCAAAAGTATAATTGTGATAAAGTCAATCTTCTCCCTCGAGATAGGAATCTCTTCCCTTTTGTAAGCTAAGCTTTATATTTTTCAACAACAGTGCCACTTAGAAAGGAGTTCTGAACTCATTCATTCTAATGCTACTGAGACCAAGGCCACCACAAGGAATGGGTAAAGAGTATTCTTCCAGTTCAGAAAATCGCTACCACTTTGAGACTCCCTCAAGAAGTTCCACAGAGAATGATTGAGCTAAAGTCCATTTTACCTTTGAGATTATGGTTTTCTTCCGTTATGGTTTTCTTTTGGGTAACTTGGCTCTTGAAGTTTTGGAGTGAAGGCAAAGAAGAGTGTGAATTTGATATTATTTTTCCCTCTATACAGAATTCTTCTTCTTTTATCGAGGAATTATATCTCTTTATAATTGAAATTAGTATTTAGTGGGGGATACTGTCTTATTTTTCCTCCGCCTCCCCTTGTACATGGTTTTGTTTTCATATATTCATTTTTGCTTATCTAAGCAAGAATTTAAGGTCGGATCTAATGTAATAATTTACTTGACTTGTCTCCCTTCCTCTTCCCCCTCCATTAAATGAAAGACTGAAAAGAAAAAAAAAACTGTCCAAGTTTTATGCAAAGCTCCTTTTGGAAGTAACTCTGAAGTTGACAAGAATTAAGGTTATTGGATGCTAACACTGTTGCCAACTTTCAGCGGGATGCTTGTCCAAGATCCTACAAAGGGCAATGATGTGGATTCACTTTTCAATCAAGCTAGGCAAATGGGAGCAGTGGAAGGTCCTATTGATAATCCCCGTTCATCTTCAAGCTCAAGCAGCTTTACTGGAACTGGCAGGTTACTGACAGGAGAAACTGTACGTTCTGCACCTGATCAGCCTGAGAGCATTATTCACAATATTGTATTCTGGAGTAATGGCTTTACTGTAAACGATGGGCCTTTAAGGAGGTTGGATGATCCTGAAAATGCATCCTTTTTGGAGGTAAGTGGAATACGGTACTTTTAATGTTCTAATGGAATATTTATGTGCATGTGTTTGCATGCATCCATGGATAATATTGGAAACATGAAATGTATTTTTTGGGAAATATTTGATCAATGTTTGTAAGTTTTCATTCACTCCATTAGATACGTTTCTTTTTTTGGATTACTGATTGCTGTCCTGAGATGGTTGTGTTTACTGTATTATTTCAATCCAGAGCATCAGAAAGTCCGAGTGCCCCAGAGAGCTTGAACCTGCAGATAGGAGGTCGTCCGTTCATGTGAATTTGATTAGGAGGATGGAGGAGTATCGTGTAAGTAACCTTATTAGATTTCACTGGTTGGTTCTACAATTTGAACATATAAACAAACCAGGATAGTTGATAGAATTCTTTCAAGAGTTGAGAATCTGTTGAAGTTTGGGAGCTTTTGACTCAGTATTTAACCTTCAGTTAATGTTCCTGAACATTTTTTGAGTTTGTAGTCGCTGGAGCATATAAATATTACACTCCGTATTTTGTATCATGCAGGAACCAGAAAAGCCACGCCTTCCATTTCAAGGTGTAGGAAGAACTCTTGGTGGTTCCACGCCAACCCAAGCAACAAACGAGCCAACTTCTACTCCCAGTAATGTCAATAGCAGTCCAAGCCCTTCTGCAGGGCTGGTCGTGGATGAATCGTTGCCATCAACCTCAATTCAGCTTAGGTTGGCAGATGGAACACGGATGATAGCTCATTTCAATTACCATCACACAATCAGCGATGTTCGTGCTTTCATCGATGCGTCTAGGCCAGGGGGTGCCAGAAACTATCAGCTGCAGTTGATGGGTTTCCCTCCCAAACTTCTCAGCGACATGACTCAGACAATCGAGCAGGCTGGTCTTGCGAATTCCGTCGTCATCCAGAAGTTCTAGCACCTAAGATAAGTTATCTCTGATACATACCAGAAAACAAGGATTTTAGCATTGAAATGGTTCTAAATTTGGATATCATCCGTGTTGTTAGAAAGAGGATGTTTGGTGTCTATTTTGTTCATGTTCTGTCAGAAGACATTTGCTGCTATACAAGTTACTGCAAGAATTCCTCTTATACAGATATATTTTGAGCCTGCTTTTCTTATATATGTGGAGGCATGAGTGATCAAGCCTGAGAAAGGTCGTTTTAAAGATGTTTTCAGGACTTGAAAGATGTTTTCAAACACGCAAGTTCATGACATGTTATGACTAGAATCGTTACGTGGTTTAGATCTATCTAAGAGGCAAAGCAACCTACCTAGGGTAGGTAGACAGCCTGGGGGTAGGGGGAGGGAGGGTAAGCTTTTACCTTAGGGGACTTAGCAGGTGAGAGTGGTGGGACACCTTGATAAATTAAGGACTTAGAGGGTTGGCATTGTGTCTTCATCATTGACTTGAAAAGGAGTTTGACAGCTAGGGCAGACACCTGGTGTAGCTAATGATAGGTTAAATTACGAGTTTATTCAAGGAACAGATAACTAAATTTTAAAAGGTAGGTATTTAATCTCTTTCGCTCCTCTAGCTTTCGTCTCTCAGTGTCGGCCCAGTTGAGTGGTTTTCCTATTGGTGTTCTTTCGCTACTCTAACTTGGTAGTTTTCACCGCCTATATTCAAAGTTGAGCCCACCTATGAATCTTTTAAAAGATTAAAATTGTCTTTTTTATTTATTTATTTATTTATTAAGTTATTGCATTATTAGTATTAAATACAAAAATGCTGTTAAATACAAAAATGGAAGTGAATATTTAATTATAGTAAAACTTGTTATATGTATTTTAAGATTTTAAAATTTTAAAAATTTTAAAATTAGAGGGATTTAAAAGTCAGTGTTAAATTTTAACCTAATTTTTAACTTAATTTTAACAATTTACCTTAGTTAGAAGTATTTTTAAAAAAATTTAAATTAATTTTACATTAGGTGTTGTAATTTTAAAAAAAATATATATATTTTATCTTTATTTTCTTATTAGATTTTAGGTTAAATTATAAATTTAGTTTTTACATTAAATCATAATTTAATTTTTAAAATTTTAAATGTTAAAATTTAATCTTTTCTATTTGTTGATAAAATTCCCAAAATATTAAAAATTAATTCTAAATATTTCTAAATTAAATCTAAATATTTCTAACTTTCTTAAAACTATCTACTCTAAAATGTGTGCTCTCCACATATTTTTTAATAATAATAATAATAATAATAAAACAATATCTAAAACTTCAACAAATTGTAATTTATCCTTATTTAATTATCTAACGTTAGAGTAGTACCTTAGTTAAAACAAACTTAATGGAGGATTTAGAAGAAAAAAATTATTTTTTATTTTCATTAAATTAGTATACTCATATATCAGTTGAGAATAGTCTTTATTCATAAAAAGTAGGTAACATGATCATGTCTCAGAAAATGCAAAAGAATATTGAGATCATCAAGTATTGAATTTGGATTTTGACCATGTTCTGGGGAATGTTGAGGGCATAGGTCTCAAATTCAAATTTTGAATCCTAATCTAAATCTTAAGTATGGGGTACACCTTATTCCGTCCATATTAGGCATACCTTAAAAAAAGATTTGATGGAGTGATCGACTTTTCTTCGCAACGGTGGTCCCACAATTTATACAATTTATTAACTTCAACCTCTCGTTGTGTGGGTCCCACAAGTTATTAATTCTATCTTTAATCACAACTTACCTTCCTACTCTATTATTCACCTCACCTTATCTTACCTCTCTATTTTTTTTTTCTTTAATTTCTTAATTTCCAAATATTTGATATTTGATATTTATTAATTTGCATAGCATAAATATTTGATATTTATTTTTAACTTAGATTGTTTTAAAACTTCAAATAATTATGTAATTGTAAATAGAATTAGTTATGCACGTTATGCTTTGAAATAAAATACACATTTTACAATGACCAAAATGACCTTTGGTAGAGGCGGAAATACCAAAATGGACAAAAAAAAAAAAAAAAAAAAAAAAAAAGAATTAAACCAAAAGGCAAAATTACTTTTAAGCCCTTCTTTGTGAAGGGAAAATAAATAAATTAATTAATTAAAAAAAGAAACAAATATTCGAACTTCCAACGGGGTCGGGCTTGCGCTCCAAAGAAGGCGTCAGTCTGGACAGTGTTCATCTTCAACGACGATGAGATTAATGGTGAAGAACTAGGGTTTCTCTTCTTCCCCCAAGTTCTACGGCTCTTCCAATCTCAAAACACCACTCATTTCTCTCTCAAATACTCTCAATTCCTTCCCATTTTCACCACTCTGGCTTCCCTCCCTCACGGATGGCCAAAACCAGACCGCCCAAGAAAGACTTGGACTCTTACACCATCAGAGGCACCAACAAGATCGTTAGAGGTAATCTCCTTCGCTTGCAACTTTCAAAACTTGTTTCGTTTTCCCCCTTTCTCTGTTCGTCTAATGCTGTTCTTTTTTTTTTTTTTTTTTTTTTTTTTTTTTTTGTAACTTCTGATTTGATGGATTCTGCAGTCGGAGATTGTGTTCTGATGCGCCCGTCGGAAACGAGTAAGCTACCTTATGTAGCGCGCATCGAGAAGATCGAAGCTGATAATCGAAACAATATTAAAGTTCGAGTGAGGTGGTACTATCGGCCGGAGGAGTCGATTGGAGGTCGGAGGCAGTTCCATGGAGCTAAGGAGCTCTTCTTGTCGGATCACTACGATGTGCAGAGTGCTCACACCATTGAAGGGAGGTGCACTGTTCACTCATTTAAAAACTACACTAAGCTTGAGAATGTTGGTGCTGAGGATTATTATTGTAGATTTGAGTACAAGGCTGCTACTGGAGCTTTCACGCCAGACCGAGTTGCTGTGTGAGTTTTCATCTTTTCTGTTGTCTAATGTGTTCTTCTGGTGCAAATTTTTTGAATCGGTTTCTTATGTTTTTTGTTTTTCTCTTGCAGCTATTGCAAATGTGAAATGCCTTACAACCCAGACGACCTCATGGTGCAATGCGAGGGCTGTAAGGACTGGTAAATGTCCATGTTAATTTTGGGAAATTAATGCTTGCTTTTGTGTACTGAATCGCTGATTTCTCTGTTGTATTTGGACTTTCCAGAGCGAAGTGGTTTGTTCATAGCATAATGAACCAAGAAAGTGAGTTTAGGATAACTTTTAAAGTAGTGCTTTAAAGTCGCACACTTTTTTATGAGAACTTTTTGAAAGGAGCACTAGTTAGATACTTCTCACTTTAAAAGTTATTTGAGTGTTCTTAGATTTTTTTTCACAATCACTTTTGGGTTATGTGACCAAACATCATGAACATTAAAGAAGTATTTTTAATTGGTTAAAAGTCAGCTTTATGAAACTCACCCTAAGTTCATATGAATTAACAATTAAAAAATGTTTACTCAAAGATAGAGTTCTAGGTGCACTGAATTTGACTTTGGGCATATGGTCATCTGCAGTTCCTTAACATTCTGACCTCATACATTAGATTAAGCCGTACAAAGGTCACCTTAATCAATTAACTTGGCTATTGTCCTCTCCATAGGTGGGGAAACTAACCCTCAAAGTGCAATGTGATGTACAGTTTTCCATGGATTTTAATTTGTTGTTAGAAATAGAATATTCACTTCAACTCTATAAGAACAAAATAGCTAAGTTCTGATTGGAGTGGTTATATTATATCATTTTGTTTCGTACTGGAACTTGAAAGTCTCGAAGTCAGGAGTTCGGTCTAGCGACGTTGTTTCTTTTTGAAAATACAAAAACTCTTATGTTTCCTTTGGTCTTCAGGTATCATCCGGCTTGCGTAAGTATGACTATCGAGGAAGCAAAAAAGTTGGAGCATTTTGTGTGTTCTGAATGTGCATCTGATGCTGACGTCAAGACAAATGAGAATACATTTTCAGCATCACCGGTGGCTGATAGCAAGGTTAGTAACTGTTGTCTGTTACGTATATTGGTAGTTGGATATCAATCATCTTTGTGAGCTTATTATCCTTTATGTACTTTTATTCACGTCAGATGTCTTTTTCTCCTTCCTGGTGAATTTAAAGATTTAACTCAGAAGCACAAGTATAACAAGAAGACAATTGAAATATACAATGTTTGGATTAGTTTATGCTAAATGTGCAGACCATAAGTTTGGTTCATTTCCAATTACAGCAATCATGTTTTCATTTCAAGGTTTTTCTTTCGTTTAACTTTCTACTTCTTTTTTCTTTCCAAAAACCAGTCTTATGATCATTAAAAGCCAGCCATTTGGGTATAATTGTGACAAAAAAATCCTTTGATCCAAGTAAGGAGGACATCATTCGTTGGGAGGCCATCTTCCCAAAAGTTAAGAATCAAAATATTAGTACTGAAATCTTCTCTCTCCCACCCCTCTGGACAAAAAATCAATGCTTTCTTATCAGTCAATGCCAGTTCATTATCAACACGACACCCATTTGGTTTTTCCATTTTCGACTTGAGTGCCTGGGAAAACTGTTAATAATATAGTGCGAAATGTAACTTGCTTTCTATGGTCTGAAAAAATGTTTTTTTTTCTTTTTTTTTTTTTTTTTAAATTTGGATTTAATTCTCTNAAAAATTTTTTTTTTTTTTTTTTTTTTTTTTTTTAAATTTGGATTTAATTCTCTGCTTTTGCCACATCTTTCATTTATTTTTTATTCAACTATTTAACAAAAGTGTCTAAAGTTGAACGGTATAGCTTTTAAGTTCTGTTATGTTACTCTTTTATCTTCTGTTTCCGTTGCTTATCCACATAAAAGGAAATATAGTGCAAGTTATCTTTCATAATGATATCATTTTTTAATGAATCTTCAATTTGATCTAAAGTTAATTTTGATTTGCATTCCTAACACATCAAGGCCATTGCATCCAATGTTTTTTCTGAAGATCGATATTTCCTTTGTCTCAGCTGAAACTCATCTAGCATCTACCATCAAACAATGGGGCATATTTATGTTGCTTCAAAATTTTAGGTTGAATTACAACTTTAGTCTCTCAGCTTTTAAGGCCATGTCTAATATGTTTTGTAGTTCAAGAAGTTCAGGTTTTTAATTTTAAATTTTGTGTAACTTTTGCAGTACAATGCTGAAAATGTTGCAGGTCCCATTTATATTCTATATTTTAAAAAAATTATAGGCCTATAAGACAAAATTCTTACTTGATTATGTACTTTCAACTTTAAATCTAGTAGATTAGTGAATTTCACAAAATGTCAAACATGACAAGAATCTATTGGACACAAAATTAAGAGATTTATTAGATACTTTTTAAAGTTAAAAGATACATTCAAATTTAACGTAAATTTTACATTTGTAGTAAAGGGATGAAACTTGTGTAGGTTCATACTTCCACCTCTTGACTGCTAGAGAAATCTGCATTTCAATAATTACTTTTTAATGCACACCATTAAGTGCTCTCTTTTTCCCGGCCTTCTGAACTAAGTCCTGCATACTTCTTTGTGGGAAGGACAACACTTGTTTTGGGTAAGATGGAAAAGACATACATCAACTTTCAGCACTATCATTAAGCATAGTAGTAAGCATTTCTCGACCGATAGGGAGAGGGGTGCTTTGTTTTCGTTTGCTTAACGCCTCTTAGTTGTTTCACATTGGAAGCTTGTCCATTTCGAAACCTACATCACTAGTTGGAATTTCTGGGAAAAATCCCACCTCCAATAGCATCCATTTTCACCATTTTTTCCCGGGACTTTGTCAAGCCATAAGTATTCTAGTAATCTCTGTGACAACAGATGGCTCAGGCAGGTAAGAATATTAATGGAAGATAGATGAAACCGACTTCCCTCACTGACCAAACTACAAGTTCTGCCTGTTTGAGGAAGGGAAGAATCATCAGTTTCTTTAAGATTCCATTTCTTTAATGTATTCTTATATGATGTGTGGTGTAAAACGATTAACTGAAAGTTTGTTATTGCAGCTAGAGTCGAAGCGACAGAAGAGATGACCACGGCCAGTGGGACTCTTTGTTGGGTTCAGCATAGCTTGGACTTTGTTGTGTAAAACTTTTGTATTATGACTGAAGGAAGCTATATGTGTGTGTGTGTGTGTGTACTGTGAATGATGTAGTGTAGGTAGGGGTTTAGGGAGTTTCTTAATAACAATTCAGGCTGGTCTTGTTGTATCCTTTTGGTAAACTCTCTCTTCTGTTTCTGTCTTGACAGCTTTTAATGTGATCGAACACTGGAAAGTGGAAACAGAAACTTTAGAGGTTGCTGAAAATGCTCAATTCAAGTCTACACTTATGGACAAATCTGGAGAGGAAAAAAAAATGAAAGTCTCTTCTCTGGTTCTGAACTCTTCTCATTGTATAAACACCATTTTTATGGGGATGTGAATTTGAATATCCAATCTTAAAAGTAAAAATACTTGTCAAATACTAGGAAGCTCACACTCACTTGTTCTATAAACTTTATATCAAAATCTATTTTAATATTTTATTTTGGTTTTTAAATTTCTACACATTTTTATAATATAAATCATACCATATGAATTTCGAATTTGAAAGAATGTGTTAGGAGTCTTCAGAAGTCACCACATAACACTTGCAAAAGTGAAAGAAAGATGAGTTGATAGAAGAAAGAAGGTCGTGGCCGGAATTTGTTTTCAGCCAATAATTTGATGCAAGAACTCGTAGGAAGGAAGAAAGAGACTCAAGTGATCGGAACTTCATTTTTTTTGTCAAGAATCGAGAGCCTACGAGGTAAGTTCTTAAACAACTTTCTTCAGATCTAAGATCCTCTTTGGCGTTTGAGATCTAATATTTTAGTATGTTTATCTAGGAAGGTTACTCTACAAGATCTGTGAAGAAGCTTGGTCGAAAAACGTGATTGAAATCAAAACCTCGCGAAGTTGTCGAAGAATGGTAAGGAAGAAATAAACCTACTTCCGACACTCATAACTTGGTCTTTGATGGTGTTTAAATTCCAAGAAAAATAGTAGGACGTAGATGGAACGATAATCTACAACATTATTAAAGAAATCGAATTGATTGGATTTCGGGATTAAAATATACAAAAATGTAAAATCCAAGAAAAACTAATAAAAAATGGATTTGTTCATCTGCTAGGAGGAGAGAGGAAGATTCCGGTGTGCCACGTGTTGATCAATGAGGGAAAAACGCGTTGGACAGGTGAGGGACACATGTCGAAGCTTGCGTGGAGCAACTCGTCAGGTGTTGTGTGGAGCAATGTGACTCTAGTTCATCGGTGACATGCGACTTCTACAACCCACGATCCGACCCGTGATCCACTAACCAACCCGCAAACCGTTGAACCGACTAACCTGTGATCCAACCGAGCCGACTTGAACTGATTCAGCGACCCGCGACTGCAGGTTTCCCTCCTCACATGGCACTCACGTGTGAATCCTGCGAATAGGCTTCCTCTCGACACATGAAGGTGTGTGGCCGGCGCGTGTGGCTTAGTTTTTGACCCTCTTGTCGATTCCAATTCTAACCATATTTTTATGTGACTTAGAACCTAATTGAGGAAAATCACACTCCTTAGACACCCTATTTCTATGTGCTTGATGGAAGTTATCGCCCCGTTAAGCATGTGTTATTTTTCGTAGAATAATGTATGATGATTCTAGTGAAGTATTATGTGCCCACCCAATTAATTTTATTGAACTAGATATTATGTTAAGACTAGGAATTTATGGTCGAGGATAGCTTCTTTTAGACCTAACTTTCCCCTCGGAGCCTAACAGACCACCATGGTGTCAATAGCTTCGTGGGAGAACAAGGGTTTCTGATCAAAACTCGACTGGACCTAGCCATTTTTGCATGGGAAACGAGAGACTCACATCGTTCAACCCATTAGCTAGGTGACTTTATGGACCTGGGAGGTTTCAGCTCACTCCCTAGGTAAGACACCATATAGTCTCACACAACATGCATGAGGTTGCGCCTTATAGAGGGTCACCAGTCATTCTCAACACGACATAAGGAACTCTCAGGATTTAAAATAAAAGGACAGAGACTAGAATAGCCCCAAGGGAATAAAACTAGAACCATACGTTTTAGAGCCAATGAAAAGCTCGTGAGAATCTGTTACTAGAACACGATGAGAACCCACAAAGTAGATGGTTTACCGAGTATAATTTTTCTACTCATCCTTGCTACATTTTTCTTTCCTAGATTTGTGATGCTACGGGTCGAGAGAGAGTGTACTTGAGATATGTGGATGGCCACAGAGGAAATTGTACGTGTCCCGAGACATCAGTCTATTCTCTTTTTTGTACGGTAAACTTCCACATCTTTCATTGTCAAAACTGGTCAACGATTTAACACATTGTATTGATTTTTTTTCTTTTATTTAAATAAATGATTCTATGTATGATGTTTTTTCTAAGTATTTCTTACATTCACATTACACACATTGTCATTTTGAGTCACAACTTGTTAAGTTTTGGGTGGTGACGAATGTTGTTTAAAATACTACAAATTTCATAAAAAAATTTCAACTTAATTTACAATGGGATTTAGATTTATGGTATTTTATTTAATGTATTTTAAGTTTTAAACTTTTTTATTTACTCTTTTATTCAAGGTCTAAATTTATTTACAATTCTAAGTAGTTTAGGTTGTATAGGTAGAATCATTCAAGTTTTACATGATCAATCTTATTCGTGGAAATATGTTTTCATGTTTTAAATATTTGATCAACAAGATAATCCAAATTTTATTTTCTTTTAGGGTGAGTTATCATTTTGATGTTCTGGTACAGTTCTTCAATTAGTTGTTGAATCGAATTTTCAAGAGTTAAAATCATTTGTAATAAAATCAATTTGATTTGAAAGGTATTAACGTTTGTGATCTATATCTATACGGGTTTATGATGATTCTTAGATCCCATTAGTTATGATTATCATATAATATTAGATATCATTGTAGACAAATCTCTTTCAACTTTTACATTTAATTTTACATTTCATACATAAAATAGTGTATCTGAACCCGAAACTATAACTAGATTACTCAATCCAAACATAACTTAATTAATTAAAGTATTATTACATACATTAAAAGACCAAAAATTTGTATTCTTAGCGATTAAAAGTCGAAGTCTGATAAACAATTTTCATTACAAAATTTAAGATTTTAAATGTTCAACGACTAAATCATACATGCCTAAACATGCTAGCTGAGTCAAACTCAATTAAAATATTAGATGTTTGAACGTTGAACCCTGAACTCTAAACCGTAGACTTCGTACACGGAAGATCATGTGATATTGCATGCATGTTGAGAGGGTTGAAATCATGCCAAATTGTACGTTACAAACACCAAAATCAAGGAAGAAAAACGTTACCAGCGGCTGTTTGGCGTGGGGTTTGAGCTCAAAATTGGCAAGCAGTTGAGCATTTATGAGTATCTTCTTCACATTAACCTTGCTACTCTTTCTCTACATAAACATGTACAGAAAAACAGTAAAGGGTAGCCATAGAATGATGGAGTTTCGTTCAATTTTGATAGCAAGTTTAGTTCTTGTGTATTGCTTTGCAGAAGAGAGGCAAATATACTTAGTTTTAATGGAAGAAAGCTCAAACGAAGACCATCTTCTTCAAAACACACTAAAAAGCTACACAAAGCTTCAAAGCTTCAAGCACATAATGAATGGCTTTGCAGTGCACACAACGCCATCGGAGGCCGCCAAGCTAAGACAAGCCAATGGAGTGAAATTAGTGGAGAGAGATAGAGGAGTGAGAAAGATGACAACTTATACCCCTAAGTTTCTAGGGGTGCCCTCCAAATCAAGGGTATGTTCCAAGAAGACTAAAACTAGCCCTGATGGGGAAGGGATTGTTATTGGGTTTGTGGACTCTGGGATTGACCCAACACACCCAAGCTTTGGTTTTGATGATGGTTATGAAGATTTGAGGCTGTTTTGTGAAAAGGGTCGGTTTTTTCCATTGAGTTCGTGCAATGGGAAGATAGTTGGGGCTAGGTTTTTCTCGGAGGGGGCTCGAGCGGTTGCAAAGCTTAATTCTTCTGTCGATTTTCTCTCTCCATTTGATGCAGAAGGCCATGGGAGGTGCGTTTTTCATCGTATATATGTTGAGTTTGTGTTTGTTTGTGTGACAGTATTTGCTATTCAAGTGGTGTAAAAGTTTTCTATTTATTATCCTTTAGAAAATTAAATAAATTAAGAAGAATATAAAATAAATGGAAAGAGAAAAAAATAAAAAATATGATACTACATATCTGCCTATAATAAAAGATCAAATATGATATATATGGTAAACTATAATTCTCCATACTAAATATCCTTAACACTCTCATCTCAGCCATGTGGCGTCCATTGCTGCCGGGAATGGTGGAGTTCCTGTTTATGTTAATGGTTTTTTCTATGGATTCGCTAGTGGGATGGCACCACGTGCACGGTACATGCAAATTCATTCATTTATATATCTCATTATTTTTTATTTTTTTATTTTTCTTTCTATAAATTTTAGTTGAACAACTAATAGAATTTTTATCCTAAACTTTTAATTTTATCAAACTCATAAATTCAATAATAATAATATGTTTGGCATAAATTTAAATTTGATCAATACTGAATTACTTTTCTAAAACTAACAAATTTTAACAAAAATTGAGCTCTAACGTTGTTTTTCTTTGAATTTTTTTTTCAATTTATTTTCTACCGTGCATATGTTTTATAATTCATTGAAAGTATATGAGAATATTCTCTTTCGTTGGATTTGATCAACGATCAAAATATGTCGAAACAAGAAAAAGAAGTAAAAGAAAAAACTTGAGGGGAGAGATCTTTTGGAGCAAAGTAAGCTTAGTTTTTCAATTATGTTTGTTCTTATTGCAGTGAGATGAACATACATATCATTAGTATTTATAATGGAGAAACTGCTAACTAGCTTCCTAAACTTTCTCTTCAATTAAGAACCCTAACAATCTTCTTAATTCTTGGTCCACAGTTTGGCTACTACTACCAATTCTTCTATAGTTGCTCTATAAGTTAGTAACTTATTCTGCTAACTCTACCAACAACTATCCTAAAATTACTGTATAAGTTAGTAACTTAATCTACTAGCTCAAGTTTATTAGCTCACAATCTTCTCCGTAAACTTGATTTTGTTCGAGATTCTTCACTCCCAGCAATTCCCTTAACCCTTGCTAGGGCATTAGTTAGAATATCTGCATGTTGCTCTCTAGTGCATATGGACTCCACAACGATTTGTCTCTTCTCAACACACTCAATTTGTTGTGTCCGTGAAATATTGGATTCTTCATCAGTGCAATCGCAGATTTGTTGTCGACGTAGAGAGTTACCGGTTTTAGTTCACTTCTAGTCACTTCGCTCAACAAATTTCTCAGCGACAATGCTTCGCACGATGCTATAGTTGCTACCATGAACTCAGCCTCATAGGAAGATAGTGCCACAGGTCGCTGCTTCTGAGATTGTCAAGAGATCCAGTTTTCATTAATATGAAAAGCCATTCTTGCCGTGCTTTTTCTTTTGTCAATGTCTCCAGCTAAATCACTATCGATAAAACTGACTAGTTCTTCAGAACCTCGCCCTCTTTGATACTTCAACCCGTAGCTTGTGGTTCCCTTCACATAACAGAGAATGTGTTTGACCTCTTGATGATGCGTCATAGTGGGATTTTCCATATACCTACTTACTATTCCAACAACATATGAAAGGTCCGGACGAGTATGAGTCAAATACCTTAGACTTCTGATGCCGCGTCTATACTCGGTGGAATTCATCAAGCTTCCTTTAGCATCTTTCCTGAGTTGTAACTTTGCTTCCATGGGATACTTTGTCGGGTTGCACTCTTTCATCTTAAATTGCTGCAACAACTTCTTAGCATAAACCGATTGCTTTAGCATGATGCAATCTTTCATTTGGTCCACTTCAATATCGAGGTAGTACGTGAGTAATCCGATATCAGTCATCTCAGATTCTTTCATCATTTGCTGCTTGAACTCTTTGATGTCTTCCACACTTGTACCAGTGACGATCAGGTCATCAACGCGCATGCCAACTATGAGTGTTTCAACCTCATTGTTTCTTGTATACACTGCTTGTTTTTGCGAGCAATTCATGAAGTTTAGTCTATTTAAACTCTTGTCCAGATGTATGTTCCACGCCCTTGGTGCTTGCCGTAAACAGTAGAAGGTCTTTGACAACTTGTACACTTTGTGCTCTTTAGCTTTGATGACGAACCCTTCAGGTTGGGCAACGTACACTTATTCTTGGAGGTCACCATTTAAAATGCTGATTTGACGTCCAAGTGATGGACCTCCCACCCATGTTGAGCTGCGAGGGCAAGAATCAACCTTAAAGTGTCCATTCTAGCTACAGACGCGAAAACCTCCTCAATATCAACTCCTTGTCATTGCACGTATCCCTTTGCAATGAGCTTTGCTTTATGCTTGATGACATTTCCTTCACTATTGTTCTTCAACTTAAACAACGACTTCAAACTGATGGGCTTGTGTCCGATCGATAAGTTAGTTAGTGCCCACGTCTTGTTCCTCTCAATGGCTTCAAGCTCTTTTTGCATGGCCTCCTACCACATCGTCTCAATTGGTGCCTCATGGTAGGTTGCGACTCCTCAGTCGTGAGCAATACTAACTTGTCGGTATCCAATTCTTTTTCAAGTGTATTCGTATAAATTTTAGCAAGAGAACGAAACTTCTTTGATTCATCTTCAGTTGTGAATTCTCCTGAGCTCTTTAACTCTAGAGAGTCCATCACACCTTTCTGTGTCACCGATGATGACATGTGGGGACTTATTGATGTTGTTGTAGGGGCACTTTCTAGGTTTGTTGCGTCTCCCTCTTCTTCCAGAGTAGTGAACTCTGTAACAGTTGCTTGTTATCGCCAACGCTGCACCAATCCCACTTCTTCTCTTCTTCGAATACGACATCTCTACTTACATGAATTTTCTCATGTTGCGGATCATATAACCTGTGTGCCTTGGTCCCATCCTCTACGCCAAAATACATCATCTTTTGGCTTCTTTCATTAAGTTTCTTTATATATGGCTTTGTAGTCTTAACATGTGCTATACATCTGAAGACTCTTAGATACTCGAGTGAGATGTCTCATTGAACAATGCTTCGTAAGGGGTGCGAGTGTCCAGCGTCTTTGTTGGTAAACGATTTAGAAGATAAACTACATGTTGTATTGCTTCGGCCCAAAAAATTGTCGGGACTTGCACGCTCCTGAGTAAGCTTCTTGTAGTGTTCATTATGGTTCGATTTCTTCATTTGACCACATCATTTTGTTGTGGAGTGTACAGCGTAGTGAGTTGACACTTGATACCTTATTCTTCGCAAAAATTTGAGAAATTTTGAGATAAGAACTCGCCACCTCGGTCGGTGCGAAAGATTTTCAGCTTGTGATTAGACCCATTTTCAACGAGTCCTTTGAACTTCTTGAATGCACATAATGCCTCTCCTTTTTTTTTTTTTTTTTTAGCATGTACACCACATCTAACGACTAAAATTGTCAACAAGAGAAAATAATTGTTATCAGCAATCGATGATCGGGTGATCAGGCCACACAAATCTGCATGAGCCAGTTGCAGTGGTTGCTCAGCACGAGAGCTGGTTTGATCTGAAAATGACAATCTTGCTTGTTTGGAGATTTGACAACTTTCACTTAGTTGATTCGGGTGTATGATTTTAGGTAGCTCCATAGCCATCTTCTTCTCTCCCATCATTTTGAGTGCCTGAAAGTTCACGTGCCCAAGTCTTGCATGTCATAACCAAGCTGGGTCTGCAAGTGCCGTCAGTAGAGAGGTGGGCTGACTGATCTCCAATAGTATCTTGTACAGGTTATGCGCCCCTTTTACCTTCCATCAACTAAGTTCCATTTCTGTAACATCTTGATGAACGGACCAACTAACTCCACTATGCTTCTTTCTTCTGTTATCTGGCCAAGATTGATAATATTACTCTTCAAGCTTGGGATACAATATACCTTCGTTAGTAAACGTTGGTTACCGTTCTTGCACTGGAACAAGATGGATCCTTTGCCTTCGATTGGTACGATTGATCCATCACCAAACTTTACATTTTCTAATGAGCTTCTCATCAAGCTCCTTGAACTTTGTTTGATATCTGGTCATGTGGTTGCTTGCTCCGCTGTCAAGGTACCATATGTTTGTCTCCACTCGGTCTTCTCCTTTTGTGAGAAGGTTCGCCATAACCTTCTCTTCGTTGAGCATCAACAGATCGGGCATCTTCTCGGCCAACATTAGTGTGGGCTCTTGATCCTACGTGAGTGTGAGGTTTGCCTCCTTATCGCGCTTCTTCTTGCGGCACTCTATTGCATAGTGCCCATATTTCTACAAGAGTAACACTTGTTCATACTCTTGTCCTTCCCGGGGTTGGCATTGTCATGGGTTTGTGAGGTATTGCCACGGCCTCCTCTACCACCACGTCTGCGCCCATGACCGCTCCCAAGCCCACGACCTCTACATTCCTTATTGTGGTTGCCATGTCCATTCGTACATGAAGCAGAAGAGTCAGCCGCATCTTTCCTTTTTGTCCATGCTAGTATCTCCTCATGTGTGAGTAAGAGGTGTTTCTTCATCTCTTTGTCTTCATAGCAAAGAAGTCTCTCCTCTTGGACTTTAAGACGACTAACAACCTCCTCAATAACATGTTCTTGAGGTCGCCGAATTGCTCAATGGAGGTAATGATCTCATGAATCTTGGGGGAATAGCTCGAAGAAACTTCTTAACGATAAAGATCTCCTCCACCATGTCGCCTAATGAACGGATGCCGCTAACAATCGTCGTCAATTTTATGGCAAAATCGTCTATTGACTCACCGTTCTTCATGCGAATAGCCTCAAACTCACTCTTCAAGGTCTGCACCTTTGCTTCCTTGACACGTTCCACACCCACATGCATTGTTTGCAGCGTCTTCCACGTTGTCTTTGTCGAGTCCTTCTCTGCCAACATGAGAAGAACATCCTCCAGGACTGCTTGGTAGATGGCAGCAAGAGTCATCTTGTCCTTACGCTCTTCAACATCACCATGTTTGATGGCGTCCCACACGCTTGTGCCTGTAAGTTGACACGCATCTTGATCAATCATGCTAGTTACTCTTCGTGAGTAACGGGTACTAGAGCGTACATTTCCCTCCTTTCTACTCTTTATCGTTGTCACTTCTCCTTGGGTGGCTTGTATGGTAACAACATTTGTTTTGGCATCTTGGCTCTAATACCATATGTTGGATTTGACCCATGATCGAAATATGTCGAAACAAGTAAAAGAAGCAAAGGAAAAATTTGAGGGGAGAGATCTTTTGGAACAAAAAAACTTTAAGCGCTTAGCTTTTCAATTCTCTTTGTTCTTGTTGTAGTGAAATGAGTATACATCTCATTAGTATTTATAGCTAAATACATCTCATTAGTATTTATAGCTAAATACATCTCATTAGTATTTATAGCTAAGAAAGCACTATCTAGCTTCCTAAACTTTCTCCTCAAGTTAAGAACCACTAACAATCTTCTAATTAAAGCACAAAACTTGGACCATAATTTAGCAACTACTTTCCATAGTTGCTCCATGAGTGAGTAACTTATAATAACAATTCTCCTAAAGTTACTATATAAGTTAATAACTTATTCTATCTGCTCAAATTTATTAGCTCACATCTTTTACAATTTTTTGAACGAAAACTTGAAGGAAAAAATTACAACAAGATTTCAAGTTTAAGATTAAGATTATAATACTTATATAGGTTTGAGATGCAAAATTGATACCACTAAATAAATTCGGGCATTAAATTAGAGAAACAGTAAGTTTTTGTGGTGAGCTAGTTAGTAATTTGGTTAGAGTGATATTTGTTTTTGTGACAGAATTGCTGTTTATAAGGCAGTTTATCCAACAATGTCCACTCTAACAGATGTAGTTTCAGCAATAGATCAAGTAAGCTCTTTTCATTTTCATACAAAACTCTATTTCCAGTACCATTCATAATTCAAACTAATTTCTTCGGTGTTAAAAGTTTAAGAATCAAAATAAGATTTCGGGTCCGTTCATTTTGAATAAATCCAGGCAGTGATCGATGGAGTTGATATATTGGCATTATCGGTCGGACCAAATGAACCACCCGAAGAAGGACTTACCTTCCTAAGCATATACGACATTGCCATATTATCTGCTACGCGAGCTGGGATCCTTGTGGTTCAGGCAGTCGGAAACAACGGCCCAGCCCCAGCAACCGTTGTCTCGTACAGCCCATGGTCGGTCGGCGTTGCAGCTTCAGGCACTGACAGAGTTTATCCGGCCTCACTTCTTCTTGGCAATGGCCAGAAAGTTGGAGGAGTAGGATTATCTGGTATGTCACACTAAAACTACTTGCAACGATTTGAAAGCATTTTTGTGTAAACTAAGAGATGGATAGAAGTATGAACATATTCTCACAAATAAGTGAAGGCAATATTCTAACAAAAGTTTGTCCATCCCATTGTTTTTTCTTATTAAACTTCAAAGATTTAAACACATAACTACGTTCATAATCATTTAGTTTTATAATCATTTAGTTTTAGGCTTAAATTATGTTTATAAACCTGATTTTGATCTATTTTTTAAAAACATTTTAAGCAATGGCATTCAAGAAATCCAATGATCCGACCACGAACTCAACTTGTACTGTAAACATTTTACTTTTATTAAAAACAAAATGATCCGAACAAATCAATTTAGCCCAAAAATTTATGGTTGGATTGAATTGGATTCATTATTTAACAAGGGTTGTTTGACTTGAAAATTTTGACTACCCAATCAATTGTATAGTCTTAAAAATGTCCTATCTCGATCCCACCCAACCCATGAACACCCCTAATTTGAAGAGTTCTAAGCCTAAGCCAAAGCCAAATTTTGAAATAGGTGGGTCTAACATCTAACATCTAACCTCTTTGGTTTATACACATTTTTGTGGCTATATTTTACGGGATCTCTATTATAGTTCTCAAAGCAATTTTCTTAACAAAGGCTTTCCCCTATATTCTAAGCATCTATCATCTTCCTCAGGACCCACTTTTTTTCTACATAAACTGGTATTAGCCAAGGATGCAATGAACCAAAATGGGACAATGCCCAGTGAAGAGTGCCAATATCCTGAAGCTTTTGACCCAAATCTTGTCCAAAACAGCATAGTCCTCTGCTCTTTCTCTCAAGGATTCCTCAATGGCACCTCCTCCCTCGCAGCCATCATCCACACTGCAACGACACTCCGATTCATCGGGTTCGCTCTCATTGCAAATCCTAACTACGGCGATTTCATCGCTGAGCCCATCCCTTTCGGACTTCCTGGCATTCTCATCCCGAACGCATCAGATTCCCAGGTACATCTTTACAAAACATAAGCTAAGTTAAACGCCTACTTCAATAAAAAAAAAACATTAAGTTTACTGTAACTCATCAGCTTAAACTTTTGGATTGCACATGAAACAAACAGGCGATACTAAAGTACTACGAAGCAAATACATGCAAGGATGACAATGGAATGGTCAGTGAATTTAAAGGGAAAGCGGCTATAGGAGAAGGAAGAGTTGCTTCATTTGGAAGCCAAGCACCAACAGTGAGCAGATTTTCATCCAGAGGCCCAGATTATATGAACATGAACAGGACAGTAGCTGATGTGCTAAAGCCAGATATTCTTGCACCTGGCCACCAAATTTGGGCTGCTTGGAGCCCTCTCAGTGTCACAGAGCCACTTTTGAAGGGTGAGCTTACCTAAAGTTACTGTTCCATCTCTCATTTTTAATCACTCTTTGTTTAGTTCCCTCATAGCTTTTAAAATTTCAAGGCTAATCTTTCAACTTTCATTGAATTTCACCTTGTGAGAGCTCAATGAAAGTTGTAGCATGAAATTTTGAAAGTGAAGGAACCAAAACAGAAAGTAGATAAGAACTGAAGAACCAAAAGTAATCAAAAGACATATTTATGTAATATGGAAAGGGGAGAACAAGTGAATTGAAACATAGCTGCTGAATTAAATAGGTTACCAATTTGCACTGATGTCTGGAACAAGTATGGCAGCACCTCATATAGTGGGAATAGCAGCACTTATTAAGCAAAAGAATCCTTCTTGGACTCCTTCCATGATAGCTTCTGCAATGTCAACAACTGCCACAAAGTATGATATGAATGGAGACCTTATTCAGGCTGAGGGATTCAACATTCATCGTTTATATCCTTCTACTCCCTTTGATTTGGGCGCTGGCCTTGTCAAACCGACCAACGCTTTGGATCCAGGACTGGTCTTCCCAGCAGGTAAGTTCCAATGATACACACTAGCTTTTCACTACATGGTAAAATGTGTTTTTTGACAATCTCAAAACTACTTGAAAACACTTTTACCTGGTTTTGGGCGCGGGACTCTCCGTTAGTAAAGTACTTTACTGAAAAACGATATTCTTCGAGTGTCGCCTAACCAAAGGTCACATGTTCAAATTCTTGGTTGATCTTAGTAATAATAAACTCTTGATGTCTCAAAGTTTAGCTCTTAGGTAGGCACAGACTAAAAACACTATTCCCTAAATGCATCCACACATGCCCTTGAAAACACACAAACCAAACCATTTCAACCTGCAATGAGATGGGACTCTACGTCTAGGTCTTATTCCATCTCAAACTTAGATTAGGAAGAGTGCCCTTGAACTACAGATCAATCATAATACACAATACAAAAAAGAAATCAATTCTTGACGAGAACGAAAAAGAAAAGGGGAGGGGAAGAGAAGATTCAAGATAGTCACTCAACTCCATATCTCGTGAACACAGATTCTTCTTTCATTTTCAATTCCTTTCGTGCATCTTTTTTTTACTATCTCTTTCCTAAGATAGGTCATAGGTCAGGGGTAGGGAGAAGGGCTTCTTCAACTTTACAACCGGAATAAGGAACCTTAGAATGAACCCTACCTGTCGAGCAAAAAATGGGATTAAGTTTTTACGACCAGATGATATTCCAGTCAGTTATATTTGCCATTTTTCAACATTTTGTACCTGTTTTTTTATTCCCGTGTTCTTATAAATGTATCGATTCAGTTCTCAACATTAGGCAACAGACTCAATCCAACCCTAAAACATAAAGAAAACTAACATCTTCCTGAAACAGAATATGAAGACTACATAAACTTCTTGTGCTCATTACCTGGGGATCCTGCTGTCATAAAAAATACCACTGGAGGACAGTGCAACGCCTCTGAACCACAGCCACACCCTGCAGATCTGAACCTTCCTTCAGTCACAATATCATCACTGGTTGGGCATCAGGTGCTGCACAGAAGAGTGAAGAATGTAGGAACCAAAGTGGAGACATACGTGTGGTCAGTGATCCCACCAAATGGGACAACAATCAACATCAATCCACCATGGTTCACCATAGCACCAGGAGGACTCCAAAACTTGGAAATACAGATCAAAGTTACACAAAAAATGAATCACTTTACCTTTGGGGAGATTATTTTCACAGGAAGTTTAAACCATATTGGAAGGATCCCTTTGTCAGTTTTGGCTGTTTCTGTATCCTAAAGTCAGGATTGATTTGTTCTTTACAACTGAATGTCAGTTTCTAGACGTAAAGCAATCTCAAACGATGGATTTTACCAGTATAAAAATTGGCAATCCACTTTAGGATGGTTAGACATCAAATAGACTCTATCAAAGTCCGAAGTTGAAACTCATCTAAAGTCCAACCTAAAACCCAAAATAATAATTTTTGAAGGTCGTGAGCACCACAACACTAGGATCTTTAAAAGGTTGCAAGCCAGACAGAGACATGGAGAGAATTTCACATGTGCAAAAGTGTTGTGACACAACATGAAAGAATCGTGGGTAAGTTCTTTTGCATACATGAGGGGAAATCAGTCATTCTTTTATCCCAAAAAATAAAAATAAAAAATCATGAGTATTCATGTAAGGGCAGATTAATGAAAAACTATTCAAGGAGTATGTCACAATGTAATTAGTAGTTTTACACCATTGAATGTATCTGAGAGAAACTACAAAAGTATCTTGAGTTTGTATCTCATGATTATTAGAACGAAATGCTGGACTTCCGAATTCATATCCAACAGTAATTAAGATGCAAACCACATTTGACAGCCTCACTGAACAATTTTTCTAGATTATGATAATTCTGTGAGATGTTCGTAAAGTTGAGAGAAAGGGAAATGGAAGAACCAATCCCAGTTTTCTTGGGGAGTGAGAATTTTTTTTAGTCACCTTACATTAAGGGTTTAAATAGCCTCAACAGGTATAATAACACCACTGTTTGGAGCTACCTTAAGAAGGTCATTAGAAAGTAAGGACCAATTTCGAGTGATCGTGTGTGACACTTCCTCTAGAATTGAAATGTTTGTGTAGGAAAAGATGCAACTCATTAAGGATGAACCAATATAAATTCTGGTGTTTCCATTCAGACTATGAAGACTTTCCTATAACATCTCTTTTGATGTTTCAAAGACAGAAGAAAGTTTGTATTAAAATGAAGTTCCGTTCTCTTTTAATTTGTGGCAAGTTTTGTACCATTTTCTAATATAGAGAATACTCCTCTTTTACTTTGGGTCTGTCATCCAGAAAACCCCTACTTGTCTCTTCTTACAGTGAATAAAGAAAAAATATCACAACATCGAAAAACATCACCAAGAAACTAAAGAAGATTGCATAAACATGTCATGATCAATTCTAATGACATAAATCTTCTATTACCACTCTATCAATCTGAATATTGAAGTTTAACACAGCTAAATGGGCTCTTCAATCCAGTTGGTCAACATTTTGTGTTTCATAATTTCACAACAAATGAGCCTAAACTACAATGGAAAAGTAGACTCAAATCAGAAGGTGAAAAGCACGTTACCCTGTCCAGCACATACACTCTTTACACCGTGGATACCTATAAACACTCCTTCCTTTGGGCCTTGTAAAGACGTGCTTGGTTTGCCTAACTGCTTTCCTAACTCTTATCTCAAAAATTCGCCATTCTATAGTGTTGTTCTTTGAAAATATGCTTGCAAGCCTTCGTTTGTTTGGTCGAATCGTTGGCATCCTTCCCCCACCGTAGTATATCCGATAACCGGATACAAGAGACGACAACTGACTCCCAGAATCTGTCATTGCAAATGCATTGGCAGCCGTGCAGCCTATGTAGTCCAATGCCGCCAACTAAAAGAACGTAAATCCATCATTCAACTAGTACGTGATAATAAGACAACAAACTACTTGAAACCTTTTCATATTAGGAGACAAGAACTTTCACATCAACACTAAACTGATGAAAGGACATAGAGACAAGATAATAATCCAGAAACATAAATTACAACTTTCTCGAGAACTAAGGAAGCATTGCAAAAAATATGCAAAGAACGAGTACATAACTTCAAACAGGCAGCAAGTTTGAACAACAATTTCTCATCTATGTGCTATTCAACATAGTGAACGGATGGACAGGTTCTAAAATAGAAAGGACATGAGAACTGACGTTCTGTTCAGAGTATTCTTGTCAGAGAAAATTCTCAAGAGGATTACTTACCGAAGTTGATCTACACGAGAACAAAACTAATATTCCAGCTAACTTCCATATCAAAAAACATTGTTATAATAACATCCTAACTGATTGATAGTGACAAAAGCGTGTTATTACCTGAGAAGAAAAGTTCATAAAAGGTTGAAGCTCTGATGTTGAAAGCAACTTCTCCTTTGTGACCAAATTAGGATACAAGCTAGTGAGAGCAGTCAACCTTGAACTCCCTCCATATATCTGTGAGCCTGCCACAAATATCTTTGTCTTGCGTTTGAAACCAAGAGCAGCAAGCATAAGTACTGCTTCCTCTGGTGTCAAGGGGCAAAGACCTTCTGACCTAAGTTCAGCAGGAGAAGGCAATCTGTAACAAGAAACCATTTTAGTTAAATCATATTCCAATACATAAATAATAAATGCCTCATTTCGTTTTAATGAAATGGGACTTGCAGACTCAGAGAGATTTTGGAGGAACTTATGAGCAGGAGAAAGGAAGAGGAAATTTTTTACCATTTGTGCAATTATGATTATGATTCGCAGTCACTGGATAAAAGAAAAAAGGAAAAAGGAAATGTTGAGGGAACATTGAAAAGAAAACAACTTGATGGGTTGGGTAAATTTATTGGCTAGATATCAGATCGTCATCCTCAATGGTAAAGTTAAAACGACTATAGCCAATTATACATATGATGTTTATGATAAACAGTTAGAATGCCACGGTCATAAATTAAAAACAGAGAGAAGAGAGATCAAATACAGGCATAACACAACGCACAAATGTAAAATTCAGTCATCAAAAATCACACAATAAACAATAAAAGCGGAAAGGGCACCACTAGGTTTGATATCGGTGTAACGGCCCAAGCCCACTGCTAGCAGATATTTGTCCTCTTTGGGCTTTCCTTTTCGAGTTTCCCCTCAAGGTTTTTAAAACGTGTTTGCTAGGGAGAGGTTTTCACACCCTTATAAAGGGTGTTTTGTTCTCCTCCCCAACCAATGTGGGATCTCACAATCCACTCCCTTCGGGTCCCAGCATCCTCGTTGGCACTCTTTCCTTTCTCCAATCAATGTGGGACCCCCGCCAAATCCACCCCTTCGGGGCCCAGCATCCTTGCTGGCACATCGCCTCATGTCCACCCCCTTCGGGGCTCAGCCTCCTCGCTGGCACATCGCCCAGTGTCTGGCTCTGATACCATTTGTAATAGCCCAAACCCACCACTAGCAGATATTGTCCTCTTTGGGCTTTCCCTTTCGGGTTTCCCCTCAAGGTTTTTAAAACGCGTATGCTAGGGAGAGGTTTCCACGCCCTTATAAAGGTTGCTTCGTTCTCCTCCCCAACCGAAGTGGGATCTCACAATAGATTTGAACATATATTGGAACCTTAATAAGTGAAGAATCATTTTCTTTTTATTTTTTTTGGGCATGACAAGCGTGCAATCAAGAATAAGCAAAGAGTGGGAAATCTAAATCTCCCGTCTAAAATAAGCTGGTGGTGGAGTGTAGAAGTCCGACTGAAAGATGTAGGCCTCAAGGGTAAGCCATGATGTTAATACAAACAAGGAAAACGACATTAACAATAGGTAAATAATGATTGAAATGGTTGTGATCCTCTTGCACAAGCACAGAGAACAAATCAGAAAGATGACTGAACCAAATCACAATACGTACTTGGTGGTTTTCTGGAGAAGAGACAATGCTGGGAAATGGATTGCCCGATATGCTTCCAACTCTTTTCTTTCTTCTTCTCCTCCACCAAATTCACAAAGAGAATGAGCTACCATATCAATCTCAAATCTCAAATGTAGAGATAGGTATCTGGAACCTTTCGGAGAGCGAGCTTTGTTTCCATTCATTGTTGATTTTGCAAATGGACCAACAAGGTGTTTATCCAATGGCCCTGGGTAGCTTTCTTGTTGACGTAGCCTTTGAAGAAGCAAAGCACCAGTTTCTTGAATTTTAGGAACAAACCTCAGAGCATGAAAATTGCATCTGCAACGAAGTCTCTAGATGGAATACCCGAATCAGGAATATGAAGCAGAAAGAACAGCTACATAACTAAGAAATATGAAAAAAAAGACAATGATCCAACATCCATTCTCGTAAAACGCAAGAAGCATATAAATAACAAGGATGTCCACGCCAAATTACCTGTAACTCAAATGATAATGGATCAAATGCCAATCGATTACCAAAACCCAGAAAATGCACGACCTTATTCTTATTTATAATAGGAAGAATGTTTTTCAAGTAAAAACTTGGCTTGGCCTCTTTAACAACATCAGCATCCGTTACCTGCAGAGTCATTAATATTATCAGACAACTGAAAACACACACATAACTCATAAGACGAAGGAACGTAGGAAATAGATCAACTGAAAACTTACCACACTTCCAATCGCTTCCAAATCTAAGGATCGTAAATTATCTGGAAGTTCTTTCACTATATGGATGTCAGGAGTCATGTAGTTAATAAAATGTTCCTCCTGGTAGATATCGCTGAATTGACTATGATATTACAGAATCTTGTACCATCAATTTTCCATCCAGAGAAATATATAACAGAAAAATGATGCTTATTGACTGAATAATGAATGGCATGATAAATACAATGAGGACAAAGCAGTTCAGTTAAAGAGAACATCATAAACTTTTTATTAAGTTGGTTTCTATAATCACTATATCATCACAAGAAAAGGGAACTTTCATATTTTTGTAGCCAATGAAACATAGAGCTCTTGCCTACTCCATCCAAATTAGGAAGTGGAATTAATACAATGAATTCAAAAAGTATCAAGCCTCTCTTGTTCGAAAGAATCGAATGTAGGATTCCAATAACCTTTATTGCATGGCCTCAGAAAAAAAGTCGACCAGCCAGCCGCAGCCTTCTATTTTTTATAGATAAGTTCATAGCAGCCACATTAACTTCCAAATTAGGAGCAGTTTTACAATTTTCCCCTAAATCTTAAAGCGATAGAACGAAAAAATGTACGTCTGAGAAAGACTTGCTGACCCTTGTTCACAATCAATCAGCCACCAAAAGGAACTAAGCCATAAATCCAGCAACAGAGCATAAACTTTTTTAATGAACAAGAAACTTAACAACATAGATGCAAGAATTACATAAAACTTGTAAGACAGAATCTAGAAGAGGAAAGAGCAATCACCTCACATCTTTCCAAACGCTACTATACATAAATCTGGGAACAACCAAAGTTGAATTAAGTAGCCGTGCCAGAACAACAGCATTGCAAACCTTGTTCATACAGGAGAAGGAACAATAATCAGAATTAAACTACTAAAAGTTTAAACACTCATAATTATCAGAAAAATCACTCACAGCTACTCGCTGTTGATTCATTCCACCGTTTGCAGTAACCATAATGTATCCATTATTTCTCTCTACTACCATTAAAATCAGAACAAAAAATTGATTGCATTAAATTTCAATCACATGAAACGTATTATAAATGCACATGAACTGAGAAAGATTGAATCACCGCTCGACTCCCAATTGCGTTGATCAGCACAGGGCTTCCAAGCAGATGAAGCAAGCAATGGCTCTTGCCATAAGTCCTTCGGCTCAGGTTTATTTTCTCCCTGCTAAGAACAATTAACTGACGAATTAAGACAGCAAATCCCACAGAAATCACAGTGGCTAGAACGAAAAATTATCTTGGAGTGTACCTCCGCCAATGCATGAGCGGCCAAAGCCAACAATCTACCATAGTTACCCTTTGGCCATTTCCTTCTACCAGCCTTCCGCTTTCCCTGTTAGCATAATCAACAATGAAAACTTATATAAGAGAACTGTAAAAATCGTTCACTGGACTGCGAATTGAGTGCAATTTAGAACTAACAATACATGCCTGAACTGAAATCTTCGGGGAAGAAACATTCCCAGGAAGTTCAGGATTGGAATTGGCCTGGTTATCATGATGTTCTTCAATTATATCATCTTGCTCTTGTAATCTCAAAAGCATGACCCAATTCACCAAGAAAAACATCCCGACCAACAAAATCAAAATCAAAATTCCTTTGAATCGCGTTCTCTGGTACCACACTATCCCCGCCCTCTTCTTTACCCGCCTATCGACTTTCAGTTTGTGCAAGCTCTCATTCGACGAAAATCCGAAAAGCTTGAACCCTGAAAACGAAGAAGCGTGATGAACATCACCGGAGGATTGATCAAAGCTCCCCAATCGACTCGGACCGAGGCGGGGAGAATGAGTCGGTGAGGCTTGACGATTCCTCGGCGTGGTCGAGCCAGAACGCACATGGCTAATGCCGACTCTGCTTTCTGGCGAATCGGAGCCTTCCTCATCAGTAACTGGCTCGTCAACGAGGCTGTTTCGCTTGAAATTAGATCCCATTACAGAGATTGGAAGGTCATCCATGGAGGCCATATCTCTCGGAGATGATGACGGATCCAAGTTGGATCCGAGAAATCGGAATGAGAGGGAGAGAATTCAGGCTTTTATGGGAACAAAAACAATTGGTAATTGCTAATTTTAAGGTGAAGTAAATTTTAATCAGTCAAGTGTCCCATTTGAATATCAAAATTATGCAAAGTTGCAACCTAGCTTTGAATCACAATATCATTCTTTCCCATCCCATTATTTATTTATCAGATTTTTCATAGATGAAGTTTGCGTGGAAGGTTGTGATAGCATTTGCTATTCATTCTTTATGTTCCAGTTGAAAATTGCAATCCAAAGTTATCCACCGCTAACAAACGAATATTGTTCATCCACTCCTACTAAATATTGTCTTCCTTGGCTTCCCCATTCGGGCTTCCCCTCATGGCTTTAAAAAGCGTATGCTAGGGGAAGCTTTCCACACCCTTATAAACGGTGATTTGTTCTCCTCCTCAATCAATATGGGACATCACAATCCACCTTCTTTTGGGCTCAGCGTCCTCGCTGGCACTCTTTCCTTCCTCCAATCGATGTGGGACCGCCCCCAAATCCACCCCCTTTGGGGCCAGTGTCTTTACTGGCACACCGCCTCGTGTCTACCTCCTTTCGGAGAAAAGGCTGACACATCGTTCGGTGTCTGGCATCGTGTCTACTCCCCTTTAGGGAACAGCGAAAAGGCTGGCACATCGTCCGATGTCTGGCTCTGATACTATTTGTAACGACCTATATCCATTGCTAGCAGATATTGTCCTCTTTGGGTTTTCCTTTCGGGCTTCCCCTCAAGGTTTTAAAACGCGTCTGCAAGAAGAAGGTTTCCACATCCTTATAAATCATGGTTTATTCTCCTCCCAACTAACGTGAGACATCACATATCCTCACCCTAATTACATAAAATTTGTTGTTTTGAATACAATTGTGCATTGGTCGCAATAACTGCATTAACTTTGAGAATTATGACCACATTGGTCTCTTTCACACGTCCTTATAGTTACAATTCACTTGCTAAACATATCTACTACACTTTTGTACGTCGAATTTGTAACGCGTCTGAAGAAATTTAAAAACATGCAATTTAACTAAATAGGTCAACAAAACAGGAAAATGACATCAGTCTAATGTTTTCTAGTTCCCATAAACTAGGAGTGTCTTAATACAATTTTAAACCAAAATTAACTGAAAACTGTTTTAAAAAAATAAGAAAAACATAAAGCTATAATTTGATAGGTAGCAAATGCTATTTATAGTAAAAAGTTAGTAGAGATAGATATTTATACATAGGAGGTGGTTATAGCTAGGTAGAGATATATTTGGTAACTATATATCTTTAGCCAGTGCTTTGAAAATGTACCATCTTTATTTATTTTCTTAGTTACTGTACGTATTTGAAATCATCCATACAAAACCTTTAGTCAATATTTCTTTGTTTTCTCTCTTTTGTTTTTTTGTGTTCACTTAGATCAAGTGTGGGTTGTTGTGCGAGTAGAGAGGAAATTTCAAAGATTGGAATGGAGAAGTTTGATGGATTCGATTTTAGTTTCTGGAAAATGCAAATTGAAGATTATCTGTACAGTGTGGGTTGTGCGATCCGTAAAGAGGAAATTTCAAAGATTGAAATTGAGAAGTTTGATGGATTCGATTTCAGTTTTTGGAAGATACAGATTGAAGATTATCTGTACCAGAAAGATCTTTACGAACCCCTGTTGGGGGTGAAGCCGAATACCATGACCACGGAGCAGTGGAAGCTTAAGGATCGACAAGCCTTAGGGTTGATCTAATTGACGCTATCCAAAAACATGGCGTTCAACATCATCAAGGAGAAGACGATGTCGGACCTGTTGAAGGCGTTATCGAATATGTACGAACAATGTATATTTGATGCAGAGATTGTTCAATCTACAAATGTCTGAAGGTGGATCTGTTGCTGATCATATAAATGAATTCAATATAATTCAATATGATTGTAAGTCAATTGAGTTCGGTGGAAATTAATTTTGATGATGAAATTAAAGCGTTGATTTTGATGTTATCTTTACCCGAGTCGTGAGATACTATTGTTGTCGCGATCAGCAGTTCCTAAGGATCTGAGAAGCTGAAGTTTGATGCAATCTAAGATGTAGTTCTCAGCGAAAGTATTCTCAAACAAGAAATTGGAGATTCATTTAGTAGTGCTCTCAGTGTTCGACCAAAGGGGAAGAAGTAAATTGAAGGGCTCAAACAAAGGTCAATCAAAATCAAAGAACCGTAAAATTTTCCAAACAGACCAAACATAACGTGTTAGAGTTGCGAAGAAAATGTCACTTTCGGACATATTGTTCAAGATCAAAGAGAAAGCAAGATGGCGATGATTCTTTAAATTCAGCCGAGGACATTGGGGATGCTTTAATTCTGAGTGTGGACACTCCGATTGAATCTTGGATTTTGAAATCATATGCATCTTTTCATTCGTCTCCAAATAAGGCGTATCTTACCGACAGCATAGCCTTGGAGATTGAAGGAAAAGAGGATGTCTGCATAAAAACTCTGGCAGATAATGAAAGGACATTAAAGGATGTTGGATATATTATTGGTCTCAAGAAGAACTTGATCTCTATTGGTTAGTTGGATAGCGCAGTTATGCAACACAGTTTGGAAAGAGTTCATGGAAGATTTTGAAGGGTGCTATGGTCGTAGCACGTGGCACAAAATATGGTACTGAAAGTGCTTCAAATCCAAGTGGCTGATAACTCTTCAAAAGTAGAGTTATATCAAGCCTTTTTGCATTAAATCGAGCCTAATTGTCCATTTAATTGAGTTATATAACAAAATTCCAGAACATTTATATTGAACCATGATGTTGTTCCAAATATGGAAACAACATTGCTGGCAAATCTGGAAACAAATTACTGACCCTGATATTGAAGCAATTCGGAAAGCAAATTTTCAGGGATGACATAGAAATTTTAATCCACATCAGCTTATCATTGACTACCCAATTAGAAATATTGTAAGTGGAAGATTTTGTTCTTTCTCAACCAACCAATATTATAGAAAAATGGTACCTAAAAAGATGGAGAGCCACACTTTGGGAAGCAGAATTTCGGATTAGACGCAGCAGCAGCCTCTGCTGGAGTGAAATCGGAAGAATAACTCTAATCCAACATCTGTGACAGCAGAAGGAAAAGAAGACCAAGAGTGATCGATTAGGGCAAAGAGGTGGACGTGAGAGCTCAAGGGAATGGAACTTCCATTGAAGAACAGCAACAAAGCTTGATAACTCTCTATTTCCTTACTCTCTTTTCTTATTCTATCAATTTTATATGGCTGAGATGAGAGTTCCTCTATTTAATTCAGTCTATATGGAGAGGTAAACTTTATAGGGGAGGTGAGAGAGTTTTATATAGTTTAAGTATGTTGACGGTATGATTTTAGTTTATTAAAGAGTTGTTGTTAATGATTTATGTGTGTTTAATTAGCTACTTTACATACATACGTGTTCTCTTATTTGGGAGAAGAGAGGGAGTAATGAAATCCTCTTTAATACTCTAATTCCATTGCAAGGATAGTTGAAGGTAATGGAAGGGTTACAAATAATTTTCTACGGGAGCCTTGTTAATAGAAATCACAAACTCACCATTGAATGTTAGTCAAAAACTCACTTAATTTCTAACGATAAACGTAATAAAAAAGATAGATTCTCTGTGTAATCGATAATTTACTTATTACTTGCTACTTGTGATAACGTATGCTTGCACTTAATCTTGTAAATTTTACATCATTTTATTATATACATCGACAAGCGATCAATGCACAATGGACTTGGACATATGAGCGTCAAATGAATGAAGATGCTGGTTGCGAAAGAAGTTTTAGAAGATCTGAAATTGGTTGATATGGGTCCTTGTGATAACTGCGTTATGAGCAAACAAAAACGAGTTAATTTCACAAAGACTGCCAGAGAATTAAAGAAACTGTAGTTGGAAATGGTCACATTTGGGGACCATCTTGAGTTCCATCATTAGGCAGATCAAAGTTCTATGTCACCTTCACTGATGATTCGAGCAAGAAGTTGTGGATTTATTTCCTGAAACACAAGTCATATGTGTTTGCTACTTTCCTGAAGTGGAAAGCTGAAGTTGAAAATCAAGTGTCTGAAGTCTGATAATGGAGGAGAATACGACAATTCAGAATTAAAAGCAGTTGTGGAGATGAGGGAATTAGATTAACAAGAACAACTCCCGGTAAAACAAGACAAAATGGTGTTGCTAAAAGAATGAACAGAACATTGAATGAGCGGGCAAAGAGTATGAGGATTCATTCTGGATTGCCAAGGATAGTTCTCGATTAACAAGGCCGATGCTGTAAATACAACAGTCTACTTGATCAATAGAGGACCGTCAGTACCCTTAAAGTTCAAGTTGCCAAAAGAAGTATGGACAGGAAAAAAATTTAAGTACTCTCACTTGAGAACTTTTGGTTGTATTGCGTATGTTCGTGTTGATCTAGAGAAGAGTGCTGTGAAAACTCGAATCGGGGTATGTATTTGGGACGTTTTCAACTCTCTAATCTTTTATAAAACTTGCTCGGAAGTTCATTTAGAACAGGTAGAAATTGGTTTGAAAGAAAATTGTTAACTATAGCCCTTGAATTTAAAAGAGAATATGAGGAAGAAATACCAAAAATCCAAACGCTTCAACCTCAAGTTTTAGGAATCCCAAGGCTATTCTAAAACCTTGCTTAGAACTTCTTATTTATAGTTGAAACTTGAACTTACCTTGTTTATTTCAAAATCGAGCTCAATTTGAGCTTGAATTTTCTGAAATATCTAGACATATTTACTCAAACGAGTGACTCGCCGACTTCAATTTAGAATTTCCATCGAGAGGCTATTTAAACTTGGAGAAAAACCAACAATTGGATCTTGAGTTTCCAACAATTTTCTAAAACTGTTCACGGTAGTGAATTTGACTCTTTGATTCAGTGACATTTTCGTAAATACTTCCAACTTTAAGGGTGTTTTGGTAAATTACCATTTTAAAAACTTTTATAATTCTTTACTAAGACATTGAAATCACTTATTTAAGCCTTTATTCTTGTTTGGATCGGTTAAGATTCTTTAGTTCTTAACATAGTACCAGAATGTCTTTAACTTA